GTACTTGGTTTGGGCCCCCTTTGCAGCAATTACTGCCTCAATGCGGCGTGGCATGGAAGCTATCAGCCTGTGGCACTGCTGAGGTGTTATGGAAGACCAGGATGCTTCAATAGCGGCATTCAGCTCTTCTGCATTGTTCGGTCTCATGTCTCTCATCTTTATCTTGGCAATGCCCCATAGATTCTGTATGGGGTTCAGGTCAGGCGAGTTTGCTGGCCAATCAAGCACAGTAATCCCACGGTCACTGAACCAGTTTTTGGTGCTTTTGGCAGTGTGGGCAGGTGTCAAGTCCTGCTGGAAAATGAAGTCAGCATCCCCATAAAGCTTGTCTGCGAAAGGAAGCATGAAGTGCTCCAAAATCTCCTGGTAGACGGTTGCATTGACCCTGGACTTAATGAAACACAGTGGACCAACACCAGCAGATGACATGGCTCCCCAAATCAACACAGACTGCGGAAACTTCACACTGGACTTCAAGCATCTTGCAGTGTGTGCCTCTCCATTCTTCCTCCAGACTCTGGGTCCTTGGTTTCCAAATGAGATACAAAAGTTGCTCTCATCAGAAAAGAGGACTTTGGACCACTGAGCAACAGACCAGTTCTGTTTTTCTTTCGCCCAGGTAAAACGCTTCTGACGTTTGTTGTTCAGGAGCGGCTTGACAAGAGGAATACAACATTTGAAGCCCATGTCCAGGATCCATCTGTGTGTGGTGGCTCTTGATGCACTGACTCCAGCCTCAGTCCACTCCTTGGGAAAGTCCCCAACACTTTTGAATGGACTTTTCCTGACAATCCTCTCCAGGCTGCGGTCATCCCTGCTGCTTGTGCACCTTTTTCTTCCACACTTTTCCCTTCCACATAACTTTCTATTAATGTGCTTTAATAGAGCACACTTTGGAAACATCCAACTTCTTTTGCAATTACCTTTTGAGGCTTTCCCTCCTTATGGAGGGGTGTCAATGATGGTTTTCTGCACAACTGTCAGGTCAGCAGTCTGTCCCATGATTGTGATTCCTTGTGAACCAGACTGAGAGACCATTGAAAGGCTCAGGAACCCTTTGCAGGTGTTCTGGCTTAATTAGCTGATTAGAGTGGGACACTTTGAGCCTAGAATATTGAACCTTTTCACAATATTCTAATTTTCTGAGATTGTGGATTTGGGGTTTTCATGAGCTGTAAGCCATAATCATCTCAATTATGACACATCACGGCTTGAACTATCTTGCTTTGCATGTAATGAGTCTATCTCATATATTAGGTTCACCTTTTAAGTTGCATTACTGAAATAAATGAACTTTTGCACGATATTCTAATTTTTCGAGTTTCACCTGTACATCATTAAAAACTTAGTATTGTCAGAATATGGATAAAAGGGAGCAATTATATATAGAGATGATAAAATCAAAATGTATAACTGCTGTAAAGAAGATCAGAAACCATTTTTTCTATCTTTTTTCTGTCCTTTATTTCCTATTCACTTATTTTTCTTTTTCTTTAAATTTGTATTCTTTTTACTCTGAAAAACCTCTCTAATAAAAATTAATTTTAAAAAAGCTTATATTAAATAAGATACTTCATACCATTTTTCCAATCAAAATCTACATGTCCAATTGAACTTAAAGTTAAAAAAATCTTGGTAACTCATTTCTGATAATTAAAAAAGACTAGTTATTAAGTAATGCATTAAATCAATGCTATATACATTATATATTAAATTAAGATAAGAATTTCAAAACTCAAATTTTGGATTTGGCATGATTCCATGGAAAAATTGTAGTCCAAGAATGGTTTTCCAGTTAAAATTAATTTCTGTATTGGATTTACTTTTTAAATTTTAGACATCGAGGCATGCTCCCACAATTTAGTTAGCCATTTTACCAAAAACAGTTGTTTTCTCAAGTTGTCTTTGTGTATAAGTATGTGGGGGGGGGGGGGGGGGGGGGGGGGTGTTTCCATCAAGTTTTTTAATTTTTATTTTATAACATACAAAGATTCCATTTTCAATTAAACAGTGTGTTGTCTGGGTACAAATAGTTTTAGGAAATAGTAATCAAAATATTTACAACAGTGTTTATTACATTTGTATTGATTCTATAATGATGATGATGTTTACTTAACCATTTTAACATACCTCCCTGATATTATTGATCCTTTCCTTATGTTTCCTTGTTTCTAACTCCTGTTTTTATCAGGTAACCATTGATAAAATAAATCCCAGGTCAAAAAGTATTCAGTTTCTTTCTTTTCCTTAATTGTAAGTGTTAGCCTATCCATTTCTGCACATTCTAATATTTTTTAAATCACATTTTCATCTGTTTGGGATCTCTTCACTTTTCCATTGTTGTGTAAATACAATTCTAGCTGCAGTCAATACATGTAAAATCAAGTATGCATTCCCTTTATTATACTCATTCGGTAAAATGCCCAGCAAAAATACTTCTGGTTTCAAATCAATATGTTGTTTTACCATTTTTTCCAGCCATGTATGTATTTTTGTTCAGTATTTTTTTGCTTTTGGACATGTCCACCACATATGATAATACGAACCAGGTGTCTGATGGCATTTCCAACATTTTGTGGACATATCCTTAAACATCTTTGCTAACCTTGAGGGTGGAAAATGCCATCTGTAAAGCATTTTATAAAGCTTTTCTTTATATGCAGTTGACATTGTTAATTTATAATTTCTATCCCATAGTTTCTGCCATTTAACTAATTGAATCGGGTAACCAAAAATTTTAGCCCTTACTATCATGATATGTCTCTTTTACTTGTTCATCTTCCATCTTGATACTTAACAAATAGCTATATATTTTCTTTATTAGTTTTTCATCTGTCCCTGTTAGTATCTGGTCTAATTCTGTTAGTTCTTTATAGAAACCATACATTTTAACATCCTTCTCATATCGGGATTGTATCTGCACTTGTGACCAGCATGTTATATCAATTCCTTGACCACTCAGTTCCTACTTAGTTTTAAGTTCCCCCTTTTCATTCAAAATATCTTTATATCTACTAATATTTTCCAAATCAATAACATTTGTATGTATCAATGCCTCCATTGTGGAAAGCCAGACCAGTATTTTCAAATAGTGATGTTCTTTCATTTTCTCCCATACTAATAATAATGTGTTTCTAATGTAATGTCTTTGGAAATACTTATGTATTTTGTTTTTTCCATACCATAAAAAAGCATGCCAACCCAATTGGAGATCATGTTCCTCCAGAGTCAATAATCTTTTGTGCCTCAAACCAATCCATTCTTTCACCCAAGTAAGTACCAAATCCTGAGAATACAATTCCCAATCTGGCAACCCAAAAACCCCTCTGTTTTTAGAATCTTGCAACATTTTCAAACTTATCCTTGCTTTTTTCCCTTGCCAAATATATCTTAATATTGTTTTATTTAATTCTTCGAAGTATTTTTTTCCAGTTTTATCGGTATTTTTTGAAATAAATATAATAATCTCTGCAAGATATTCATTTTTATAGTAGCTTTTCTTCCCATCAACAACAGTTGCAAGTTTTTCCACTTCTCCAAGTCTGTTTTAATTTGTTGCGCCAGTTTATAGTAGTTCTTTAATAGTTACACACCTTGCGGTTAGTTGAATTCCTAAATATTTAACTTTCTTGACTATCTGAATACCTATCCTCTTCTTTAACTCTTTTTTTGTGTATCTGTAAGATTTTAAACTAATATTTTAGTTTTTTCTTTGTTTATTTTCAATCCTGCAACTTCACCATATTCTTCTATTTTTTAAATTAATTTGGGTCCAGTTTCTTGTAGATCTTCAAGGATAAAAACCAAATCATCTGCAAACGTCTGTAACGTGAATTTTTCCATTTTTATTTCCATACCTTTAATTTCTATGTCTTGTCTAATATTTCTATTTAACACTTCCAATGTCAATATAAATAGTAAAGGGGATAGTGGACATCCTTGTCTTGTGCCTTTTTTATATTAAAATTCTCTGTTGTATCCCCATTTACACCTTTGCTGTTTGCTTCTGATATATTGCCTTGATCATGTTGATAAATCTCTCACCAAAGTCCATAGATTTTAGTTGTAATAACATAAATTGCCAGTTTATGTTATCAAATGCTTTCTGCGTGTCTAGGAAGATCAACGCCATTTGTTTTCCTGGATGTGCTTCACAATATACCAATGTATTTAAGATCATTCTCATATTGTTTTTGAGCTGTCTCTTAGGCAGGAAGCCATTTTTGATCTAGATGTATAAATTCATTCAGAAACCTTT